AATTTACCAAGTGACTAGAGTAACGAAAGTCGGGGGACCTTGGGTATTATTAATAAAGATTCAGCAAATTCTGCAATTGCCAGTTGCTCTCTGGATCCCAAGGTAGTAGCCAAATTTTCCAGATACACGGATAAGGCAGCCTCGACAGCACCTCCACCAGCAACAACCTATACTACCATTTAGTTACAAGCCACAGACGAGATGATTATGGGTAAAAAATTATATATAGTTACCTACATTCAATCTAAATGAATCTGAGTAAATTCCAGGTTAGGAATTTTAGCTGACTTTTGAAAGCTAACTGGCTAGAAGTGCTTGTAACAATTGAGCCCAACATAAAGATTAATTTATTTATCTTATGGGAAGTGCGAAAAATAGGGAATTTTGGGCAAGCAGAGTTTTCATCTTATATCTACTATTCAACAAAAGAAGGCACTCACTGTGTTAGACTCCAGAGTTCTCTTAACAATGCAAAGGGCATCATGCAAAGCCCTGTCCATCTCATCTAGCATGTAATCGTTGGCACCTCTTAGTATTAATGAAACCTGGAGAAAGAGATTTTGAGTTTAATTTCTACACTGCAATTCACAATGTACCACTGTCTCAAGTGATCAAAGTCATGTTAAAGAAGATGGCTACAGTTGCCTTAATATATGAAGGGGTAAGCTAAAGAATCGCAAGTAAAATATCGTAAAGAAACTGATTGAATATTAATCATACCGCGCTTGAGGTTTTGGTCCCTTTTATTAAAATCACATCATCATCGGCAATACGTTCTTCCACTACTTCCTCAGCATATCCTAGAAGTGATGAATCAAATGTTTCCTCCCCTTCCATATCAGCAAAAGTAGAGATCTGTAAAGAAGCAATCATTATGTCCCTCAAAGACGATGACATAAATCTTCGAAGGATACATAAGAGTAAGGACATTGATGCATGCACGTGTGATTTGAAAGATAAGGAGTTAAAGTACCGCTGTAGCACCAGTTGCCTTGGCAACATGGCGTAGGTCTTCCTTGCGAACTCGTCTAACAGCTATGGCACCAGCTTCCACAAAGTACTGAAGCAAGAGAATTTACAGAATCCCCATATTAAAATACAAATTCTATTTCATAAATATCCTGCAGTTCCGCAAAGTTTCTTGTGGATTCCTCAGAAGCGGTCTGACAAGGTAAATGCTAAGACACATTACACATCTAGAAGATGGGTCACTCATCACTTTGATGGATGATTTCAATTTGTTATGTTAAGTATGTAAATGTGCCATCGTACGAAAATGATAGCGAACACAATTTCCAGGAAATGCACCTTTAGCCAACATACTGTAGACTGAAGGAAATGCATGAGTTAATAGACTCATGAGTTACATAATAATATTAAGCACTTGTTCTTAAAAGGAAAAAGGCTAACTAAGGTAACAATCTACAGATTCACCAAGAAACATAGGTTTTCGAGAGTGAATTAAAAGAAAGCGTGCCTTTAATGCCATGTCATCAATTCCTTTAGTGGTTAAGACCACATTTGCTCCTGCCTTTAGAAGCTTCTCAATACGTTCTTTTGTCATGTCAGCTTCTCTGCAAGATAAATATGTATTATCATTATCAGACAACATGAAGAAGTTGCAGGAGGATTATTGAAAAAATTATGGTGCAAACTTTAAAACAATTCCGCACGAGTCTTGAGCAATGACAGAGAACAAGAGAGCAATGACAATCGAAAAACTCATAGTTTCAAAGAGATCTAAGAACTCATATGGCTGAGCTGCAAATTGATATATGTTAATTTAACTTCCTTCATTGACATCCACTTAAGCACATAAATATACAATAAGATTCTTTAATCTGAATTAACTTTTCCATATTGCCAATAATGTACATATAACCAAAAGTGATCACCTCTGACGGATCTTTTCCAACTCCCGGGGGTCATTGACTAAGACTTGGACTCCCATTTGCATTTTAGTCTTCTGAAGATTAAAATCAAGGCAAGCAATTCTAGCAGGGGCAACCCTCAAGGGCATTCCCTGTGCAGCACGCCCTGTATTCAGAGCATACCCTTTGAGTAGATAGCTATCTCTGGCACTTTGCCCATGGGCTTTAAGAATATTGATTCCCTGAACATCAATGAAATAATGACTCACCTCTTCTATTTGAAAAATTGACAAGATCAAGGAAAATTATTATCGATATTTCAGGGTTCGAGCAGGATTTAAGTTTCTTCTGAACGTCAGTTTTTATTTTTACTGAATGAGATCTTCAAGATTCTTGAGATAGTATGGCTGCAAAGACTAGCCCAATTTTCTTTCAAACAAAAGAAAAATGCAGTAGAAGTTTATTAAGCATCATCCCAAAGTCATTCTGGAAGAAGCAGCGAACTGAGACCATCTTTAGAAGAGAAACCAACATTTCCAAGAACGGTAAGTTCAAAACTATGCACAACCAACCTTGATTGGATACCGAACTTCGCCTCTTGCATTTGTCATTTTTACTGACTGTACAGCTTCAACAACCTAAAGAATGAGAGGTTTTTTGAGACACAAACTTGTAATGCTATGTAAATACCAATAACAAGTTTAAGTAATTCACTAGAGAGATACAGCCTTCTCAAAACACCAAATAACATCGCAAAAAGGTAAAACCATTAACCCTGATAGCGAAGACCACAGAAGAAAAGCAACGAAGTCACATGAGTACAAGTTCATACTTCACATTACAGAAAATGAGATACAAGAAAGTTATGGCAAAACAATGCTCAATGTTTGATCAAATGCACATAGAATACCCAAAAAATAGAAAAAAACGTAAAAAAAAATTACAGCACTAGAAGCTATGCATCTGATTCAAACTTACTGTCGTATGCATTTATCACAGGTGCAAATAATTCACACATTAATCACTCATCTACTAACTTACCAGATTTGCGAAGAAGTCACTGTCACCACCTATCAACTTTGAGGACATGCTGGTCTTGGCACTGTTCACCAGTGAATCTTTGCCAAGCTTTTCAACCTAACACAAATGCAAAAATGTCTCAAACAATCGACATATAAAATTCTATGAACTTTGAGGAAACATTTCTGGTTTACAACTAGATAATAGTTCAAGTCAATCCAAGTCAAGCAGCATACAAACACGAAACGTTCTGTCCACATCTTTTAGTGTTCTGCAGCCAAATATGACAAACAGAAACATGTGCTTCTGAAGGAACAATTAGGAGAAGAGTTACCTTTACAGCCAATTTCTCATCAACATATTTGCATGCTTCCCTCATAGCAAGCTGACAACAAATATTAAAAATTAAACTAGAGAATCATGTAAAATAACTGAAGCAAAAACGAAGAATCTAAACATATAGAACTTTTGAGGGGGGAAGAAAAACAGGAGGAATAAAAGAAAAAACACAGTTGAGTGCGAACCCTGTAACCACTGATTATCGATGTTGGATGAATCTTGTTTCTCACTAAATCATTAGCTCTCTGTAGAAATAAATCCCAAATTAGTCATTTTAGGTTACCAATTTAGGTAAAATATTCAACTCCCGCAACCGCAAAACTGGCCATAATACCTTCAGCAATTCTGCAGCTATGATGACCACAGATGTTGTGCCATCTCCCACTTCTCGGTCTTGTAATTCTGCCAGCTCAACAAGAACCTGTAATCATTTAAGAACTACACATAAATTTCTTACAATGCTAAATTGTAAAAGCACAAAAACACGAAGTTTACCTTGGCAGCAGGATGTTCAACCTCCAGCATTTTCAATATCGTCGCACCATCATTAGTAATTGTCACGTCACCAATATCATCGACGAGCATCTGGCAAGTACCGACCAGGAACGAAAAAGAGCATCATATTTCAAGTCTAAACTGAGATATTAACCTACCAGGCACTTAAAGATACTCACATCACTCGAATTATTGGATTAACATGCTATAATTAAAAGAAAAACCTATCAATCACTACTTTCATTTTTAACATAAGCACAAAAATGAATAAAAGAATGTACCGACCAGGAACGAAAACACCGCTAAGTTAGGCACTACTTAATTTGTTATCAGTATTACTATCAAGCAACCATCTCCATATCCATGGCAATATATGCAGATAAATTAAAAAGCAAAAATACCTTGTCGAGGCCAACAGGGCCAAGCGAAGACTTCACAATGTTCGCAATAGCTTGACAAGCTACAACTGCATATTCCAAGGCCAAAACATTCGAATAACATCAACAGCTCACGGCATAAGTATAAAATAAGTAGACAAATATGACGACGACAAACGGTACCATTTTGAGTTCGAACATCTTGGCCTGATTGACGTTCGCCGGAGATATCAGGCTGCGACGAAATTGCCATAACCGATAATACAATCTAATAGTCGAAAGGAAACGCTGAAAAGCTGGACAAAACCCTAGATCTGATCGGCTTCGCGCGGTGAGTCTCGTACTTTCTCTGTATAGGCAGAGGTACTCGAGTGAAGAAACATTTCAATAGGGTTTGAGCAAAAGTTATTGAAATCGTACGGCGTCGTTTTGCAGTTTGGGCCCAATGAGCCCAACTAATCGGGGCCTGAGTGGGTTTTACTATGGGAAAATTAGATAACTAACCACTATTGAACGGTACATTATAAAAAAACTAACCTCACCAGTTATTTAT